ACATCGAAATGTTACCTCACTAGTATTGCACCTCACTCTGAGCCTTTATATACCCTCTGTGTCCATGTATTGTTTGTAATGGCTTGATAAAGCTCCTGGAGAGCGAAACGTTGCCACAATAAATGTCACATTAGTTGCACTTGTGTCCTTTTACTTTACAGGGAGGAAGTTCATGGGTACCGGTCCCCATGAGAAGTTTTTATTTAAAAAAAGGGGCAAACGTGGAGTAGCTCCCAGGAGAAATTAAAGGGATCATATGTCCCCGTCCTAGCCCAACAGGACCCTGGGAGCGGCCGGTAGTGCAGTGCAGATGTGGCTTGGAACCCTTGCCTTACCCTATCCTTCACGCCGGTGAGCCAGCGGTACAGGATAGTAACCTCACATCCAACGAGCCACCTTGTTGGACAGAAGAAAGGGTTGTCAAAAATCTGCCATGTGGAATATCTCCCCCATCCCCTTTTGCCATCACCTCTCGGAACCTGGCAGGCAGCCTCCAGATACACACTTATCACCCGAAGGACACCGAAAGCCGCCTCCGGGACTCCTAGATGATCCAGATTCCACGTCAGACAGCACCACCACCAAGGACCACAACGGAATGAGACGGATATCTACATCCTTTCCTCAACCAAGGAGCTAGAATTTCGGAGGGAAGGAACCCCAAAGACCGAAAGCACGAAAGGAAGGATAGGGGAGGGATCGGGAAAGGAAGAGGGATGGGAAAGGAGGATTGGTAAGGATGGGGAAGGGAAGAGTGGAAGGGGGGGGGGAGTAATTAGGTTTGGTGGGAGGAAGAAGACCGAAAGGCCCAATTCCTCAGATTAAAAGCCTCTTCACCACGGCAAGGAACCCCCATCCTCTGAAGAGCGGTCACCACATAATATCTAACATATCTTATGGTCAACTTCAGTCGCTCAGGTGCTGTAGATCTTAACTGAAATATTTTATGCTAAATTTTGGTCTTATATGTGCCAGTTTGACAGTTCTTGAAGGACTAGAAAATTAATGTAACAGAACTGTAAAAATAATAAATGAGAAATACTGAAAACTCCCGGTTTTAATTTTAAAGAATTTACTGATAACTTAATCAGACTAGGCATATCGTAAGCTAAAACATTCTCATCTATTAAAGTCCTCGAAGGCTGTCGTTTATGGCTTCAGAAAACATTACTGAATCAGATTCTTTTCAACGCAGGTTCCATTGGTGTCCCGTAGCTCGAATGCTAGCGTAATGAGCTCACACAGGTCTGGAGGTCGATCCCCGGTACGGCTGGAAATATTAGGAAGTGTTTCCATAAGACACCTGCTGACCCTCTTTACCCATCAGTAAAATGGATACCTGGGTGTTAATCGACTGGTGTGGGTCGCATCCTGGGACTAAATTGACCTAATTTACCCGAAATGCTCTGCATAATAAGAGGCTTTCTATATAGTAGTATGTCACTGATACCAGCTAGGCCTGTACACCTTGTACATGTACTTGTAGAAATATTTTATTATTATTATTATTATTATTATTATTATTATTATTATTATTATTATTATTATTATTATTGTTGTTGTTGTTGTTGTTGTTGTTGTTATTGTTGTTTTTGTTATTATTATTATTATTATTATTATTATTATTATTATTATTATTATTATTATTATTATTATTATTATTATTATTATTATTTTTGGACAACTGACAAGTCTAGGTGTTCTCTTTTTAGTTTTAAGTAGATCATTTCCGAAATTGGTTTCTGTGAGTAAATTTAGAAAGTCTTATCGGCTTCAGAGTTTCAACACTGGTCCGTTTTAAAAGGTTTGTACTGTTAACAGTATGTGTAGGTGTCATTTTGTCACCCTAGGAATGGTATAGTATAATTTTGCATTTTAGATTCTTTGCCTTGTTGCTGTTGAAATACTCTTGTATCAAATTTGAAATCCTCCCATTCCGAACAGCATCAATTTTTAATAGTATTTTTCATCTTATTAAGTAAAACGTTTTATGGGTTTAGGATGTGTATGTGCAAATTTTTGTTGCATTCTGTATAGTAACCATCTGTGTCTCGCGAAATTATAACATGACTGCAGTCGTATTTCGATTTCTTGAGTCATGATGGTTGCATTAAAGGAACTTGAGCTATAGCACGTCACAGTCACGCTGGTGTGGGATTAGTCTGTAAAAACCTGTATTGGTGGTCACAGTGGTGGCTCATGCTAACCTTCCTATGGTGTATAGAAATAAGTTCGAGCTCCACCCGTTATGTGATCAGAGAATATCTCTTCTAGTTGGCTTTAGTCTTTTTTTTTTTTTTTTTTGCTAATGTCTTTCCTTCAAAGAAAGCTTTACCTTGAGTTAATTATGTATGCTGGTGTATTTTATGATATTCTTTCTGGGGTAACATGATTGTGGTTTGGCCCTAAAGCTGGTGTTTCGTAGTGGAACACTTAAATTAGTTTTGGGCTGTGTATGTCCTAATATGACTCGTTTATTGAAGAAACTGGGGCATCAGTTTTCTTCAGATAACTTGGGAATACCTCAAATGATTTGCTTCAGATCATCAACGATAATATTTACCTGCACTATAAACGTATACTGTACTCTGCACTACTGTTATCGCATACACTGAGATACAGGAGACCAGAGTTATACATAGAGGAATCCCTTTCTCTGCGCCGCAACTGAAATACAGATTAGTTTCAATTTATTTATCACTAACAAAGGTAAACTCTGTTACTGGTCATTCTGATCTATCAGATACAAGCTACCTGGGTTAATCTCTTGATGAGGATGGTGGGTTGGCATTATGGTAATGGGTGGTGGATGGGAGTTAGAAACACTGATGGTGGGCTGGCATTATGGATCATCAGTCACAAGACTCACAGAGGGGAAAATTCCTAGGTATCCACCTTGACAGTAGCCTTAAGTTTCAGACACATATACAACAAATCACCAAGAAAATCTCCAAGACTGTAGGCATGCTATCAGAGGTACTACGTTCCACAATCAGCTCTCCTGGCACTGTATCATTCACTCATATACCCTTATCTTACATATGGAATTTGTGCATGAGGATCAACAACATCCAATCACCTAAAACCCCTAATAACCCAGCAAAAGGCAGCAATAACAATGATAACAAATTCCCACTCCCGCCAGCATACTCCACCAATTTTCAAAAGCCTGAATCTGCTCACCATTAAGAACATCCATACTTATTCATGTGCCTACTACATACACAGAACAATACACGCAAATATAAACCCTCCACTCAAACTTCTCCTCACCAACCTAAACAGGACACATGACCACAACACAAGACACAGATCTCTTTTTGATATGCCTCGTGTCCATATCACACTGTGTAAAAACTCTATGCACATAAAGGGCCCCAAAATATGGAATTCATTACCAGAAGATATTAAAGTAACCCAGTCTGAAAATCAATTTAAGACTTTTCTCAAAAGCCACTTAATCACCCTAGACTAAATGCTAAATACTCAGTACACACATACTTACTTATGTACTCCCACATTTAAACTTCAACAATCACTTTGAACCTTTTATCCATTGTTGACAGGAATATAATTGAATCATTGTTGTAACAAAAAGCATTTTTGAATAGATGAATATATCTTTTGTCTTAAACAAATTAGATTCACATATAATTAATAATCTACTGTACAACTATGAAATAATTACTATCCTACTGTACAACTATGATATAATCCTTAGTGTTAAGTAGTCTGTAAGTCAATAATGTTAAGTTGGCCCATAATGCCTAGGCATAATAGAGGTTCTCTTTGCATTGCAACCCACTATTGTATATACAAAATCTCAATGTACTGTTTGCAAAGACATAAAATAAATAAATAAATGGTAAGGGGTGATGGAAGGGAGTTAGAGACACTGATGGTGGGCTGGCATTATGGTAAGGGGTGGTGGATGGGAGTTAGAGACACTGATGGTGGGCTGGCATTATGGTAAGGGGTGATGGATGGGAGTTAGAGACACTGATGGTGGGCTGGGTGGTATTAGGTCATGCTAAACTGTCCCACCCACAGCGCTGACTTGCAGTAAATTTTTACCCATCAACTGGACTTTCACCTGAGGAATGGAACCAGGAACGGTATTAAATTCTCAAAGCTCCTTCCTTTAGGAAAATAATGGAATAGAAAATATAACCATATAATGAAAAGAGAATATATAATTTGAGTAGGTAAGTTTATTTTAATATAAAAATATGAAGCCTAGTAAAACTAAATTGAAACAAAATTGAAAAAAAAAATAAAAGTGTAAATTAGTGACCAAATCTAACAATTGATAAATCTGTTATTTTGAAAGCTCCGCCACAGATACGTGGAACACGGACGAAGTCATAGAGGTTGCAGACAATTTTCGTTTTACAACTAGGTGATGAGGCTAGTAGATTCAACCAAAACAGCTGTTTGTTGATATTAGCCTATGATCGGAATATAGCTCTGGTATAGTCATATGTTCGGACTATGTTGCTAGTCCTCCAGTTATGCGAGGTCGAGGCTAGTAGAGTCGGTCAGGAAAACCATATCGTTTAGCTACGATCGGAAATGGAGCTCTGGTCGACAAAACAGCTCCTCCTAGTCCGTAAACTGGAGCAATCCGACGCCAATCCTACGGGCTGAGAAAAATAGAAATTACCAGAGAACACATCGGTTATGGCATAGAGAAATACGAGTAGCCAGATTAAGCCTAAGTCAGTGTAAGTAACTTAGCAGAATAAGTAATCCCGAGGAGAGCTAGTAGTAGAGGGACACCACTGGCTTAACCTGGCAAGCAGGTAAACTCCAGTCGTTATCCTCCAGGATGGTAGGAGGATACTGACGCTCAAAACCTCGAGGAGGTTGACAGAGGCTTAATTTTCGGGTTATCCATAAAAATTAATATACGAAATACTCTTCTCTGTAACTAAGAGGAGGTTCGTGCAACTATTGGCATGTACTGTGCTCTCTGGTTATTTTTATGTTGACCATTCTTGGAAAAAGTTATTTTTTCGTCGCCTTGAAACTTGAAACAGTGGTGGCTCCAACTTAGAAGAAGGTTAAAATTGTTGCTAGAGTGTATGGACGACAATTTGCCTTCTTTGTTAATGATGTATTATTTTCCAGGAAATATGTTGAATAATCCTCAACTGAACGACTTCTATCGTTGTTGGCTGATGTATCGTTGTTGGCTGATGTATCGTATTCGAGGGATAAGAGACTGTAAGTTTAAGTTATGTAAATGTATCCGTATGCTAATATACTTACCCACTGACCTAGCTGGTCTAATATATTCCTAACACCATAGGGAGGTTAGCATAGGCCTCACTGTATCCTGAAATCCCACACCAACAGGGAAGTGGCGAGCTCTAGCTCGAGTTCCTTTAAAGCCGAGGTTTCTGAAGAGTTCAGTACTTTTGAGGCAGATTTTCTTTTACATCACGATGATCACTAGACTGGTCGTAGTGATCACTAGACTGGTCGTAATGATCACTAGACTGGTCGTAATGATCACTAGACTGGTCGTAGTGATCACTAGACTGGTCGTAATGATCACTAGACTGTCGTAGTGATCCCCTAGACTGGTCGTAATGACATAGCTGTCTGATCACTAGACTGGTCGCAATGATCACTAGACTGGTCGCAATGATCACTAGACTGGTCGTAATGATCACTAGACAGATCGTAATGATCACTAGACTGGTCGTAATGATCACTAGACTGGTCGCAATGATACTAGATGGTCGTATGATCACTAGACAGGTCGTATACACTATTGGTCGTATATCACTAGACTGGTCGTAGTGATCACTAGACTGATCGTCAGTGATCACTAGACTGGTCGTAATGATCACTAGACTGGTAAGATCCTAGACTGTGTATGATCACTAGACTGGTCGTAATGATCACTAGACTGGTCGTAGTGATCACTAGACTGATAGTGATCACTAGACTGGTCGTAGTGATCACTAGACTGATCGCAATGATCACTAGACTGGTCGTAATGATCACTAGACTGGTCGTAATGATCACTAGACTGGTCGTAGTGATCACTAGACTGGTCGTAGTGATCACTAGACTGTCGTAATATCACTAGACTGGTCGTAATGATCACTAGACTGGTCGTATGATCACTAGACTGGTCGTAGTGATCACTAGACTGGTCGTATGATCACTAGACTGTCGTAATGATCACTAGACTGTCGTAATGATCACTAGACTGGTCGTAATGATCACTAGACTGGTCGTAGTGATCACTAGACTGGTCGTAATGATCACTAGACTGGTCGTAATGATCACTAGACTGGTCGTAATAATCACTAGACTGGTCGTAGTGATCGCTAGACTGGTCGTAATGATCACTAGACTGGTTGTAATAATCACTAGACTGATTGTAGTGATCGCTAGACTGGTCGTAATAATCACTAGACTGGTCGTAATGATCACTAGACTGGTCGTAATAATCACTAGACTGGTCGTATGATCACTAGACTGTCGTAATGTTCACTAGACTGGCCGTAATGATCACTAGACTGGTCGTAATGATCACTAGACTGGTCGTAGTGATCACTAGACTGGTCGTAATGATCACTAGACTGGTCGTAGTGATCACTAGACTGGTCGTAATGATCACTAGACTGGTCGTAGTGATCACTAGACTGGTCGTAGTGATCACTAGACTGGTCGTAGTGATCACTAGACTGGTCGTAATCACTAGACTGGTCGTAATGATCACTAGACTGGTCGTAGTGATCACTAGACTGGTTGTTGTGATCACTAGACTGGTCGTAGGGATCACTAGACTGGTCATAGTGATCACTAGACTGGTCGTAATGATCACTAGACTGGTAGTAATGATCACTAGACTGGTCGTAGTGATCACTAGACTTGTCGTAGTGATCACTAGACTGGTCATAATGATCACTAGACTGGTAGTAGTGATCACTAGACTGGTCGTAGTTATCACTAGACTGGTATTAATGATCACTAGACTGGTCGTAATGATCACTAGACTGGTCGTAGTGATCACTAGACTGGTCGTAGTGATCACTAGACTGGTCGTAGGATCACTAGACTGGTCGTATGATCCTAGACTGGTCGTAATGATCACTAGACTGGTGTAATGATCACTAGGACTGGTCGTTGATCACTAGACTGTCGTATGATCACTAGACTGGTCGTGATGATCACAGACTGGTAGTAATGATCACTAGACTGGTCGTAGTGATCACTAGACTGGTTAATGATCACTAGACTGGTCGTAATATCACTAGACTGGTCGAGTGATCACTAGACTGGTCGTAATGATCACTAGACTGGTCGTAGTGATCACTAGACTGGTCGTAGTGATCACTAGACTGGTCGTAATGATCACTAGACTGGTCGTAATGATCACTAGACTGGTCGTAGTGATCACTAGACTGGTCGTAATGATCACTAGACTGGTAGTAATGATCACTAGACTGGTCGTAGTGATCACTAGACTGGTCGTAGTGATCACTAGACTGGCCATAATGATCACTAGACTGGTAGTAATCACTAGACTGGTCGTAGTTATCATTAGACTGGTAGTAATGATCACTAGACTGGTCGTAATGATCACTAGACTGGTCGTAGTGATCACTAGACTGGTCGTAGTGATCACTAGACTGGTCGTAGTGATCACTAGACTGGTCGTATGATCACTAGACTGGTCGTAGTGATCACTAGACTGGTCGTAATGATCACTAGACTGGTCGTAATGATCACTGGGACTGGTCGTAGTGATCACTAGACTGGTCGTAGTGATCACTAGATTGTGTAGTGATCACTAGACTGGTCGTAGTGATCATTAGATGGTCGTAATGATCACTAGACTTGTCGTAATGATCACTAGACTGGTCGTAATGATCACTAGACTGGTCGTAGTGATCACTAGACTGGTCGTAGTGATCACTAGACTGGTCGTAGTGATCACTAGACTGGTCGTAGTGATCACTAGACTGGTCGTAATGATCACTAGACTGGTCGTAATGATCACTAGACTGGTCGTAGTGATCACTAGACTGGTCGTAATGATCACTAGATGGTCGTTATGATCACTAGACTGGTCGTAGTGATCACTAGGCTGGTCGTAATGATCACTAGACTGATCGTAATGATCACTAGACTGGTCGTAGTGATCACTAGACTGGTCGTAGTGATCACTAGACTGGTCGTAGTGATCACTAGACTGGTCGTAGTGATCACTAGACTGGTCGTAGTGATCACTAGCTGGTCGTAATGATCACTGATGCGTATGACTGATTCGTAGTGATCACTAGACTGGTCGTAGTGATCACTAGACTGGTCGAAAGTGATCACTAGACTGGTCGTAATGATCACTAGACTGGTCGTAGTGATCACTAGACTGGTCGTAGTGATCACTAGTTTGGTCGTAATGATCACTAGACTGGTCGTAGTGATCACTAGACTGGTCGTAATGATCACTAGACTGGTCGTAATGATCACTAGACTGGTCGTAATGATCACTAGACTGGTCGTAGTGATCACTGGGACTGGTCGTAGTAAATCACTAGACTGGTCGTAGTGATCATTAGACTGGTCGTAATGATCACTAGACTGGCCGTAGTGATCACTAGGCTGGTCGTAGTGATCACTAGACTGGTCGTAATGATCACTAGACTGGTCGTAATGATCACTAGACTGGTAATGATCACTAGACTGGTCGTAATGATCACTAGACTGGTGGTAGTGATCACTAGACTGGTCGTAGTGATCACTAGACTGGTCGTAGTGATCACTAGACTGGTCGTAATGATCACTAGACTGGTCGTAGTGATCACTAGACTGGTCGTAGTGATCACTAGACTGGTCGTAGTGATCACTAGACTTCTCGTAATGATCACTAGACTGGTCGTAATGATCACTAGACTGGTCGTAATGATCACTAGTCTGGTCGTAATGATCACTAGACTGGTCGTAATGATCACTAGACTGGTCTAATGATCACTAGACTGGTCGTAATGATCACTAGACTGGTCGTAATGATCACTAGACTGGTCGTAGTGATCACTAGACTGGTCGTAATGATCACTAGACTGGTCGTAGATGATCACTAGACTGGTCGTAGTGATCACTAGACTGGTCGTAGTGATCACTAGACTTCTCGTAATGATCACTAGACTGGTCGTAATGATCACTAGACTGGTCGTAATGATCACTAGTCTGGTCGTAATGATCACTAGACTGGTCGTAATGATCACTAGACTGGTCGTAATGATCACTAGACTGGTCGTAATGATCACTAGACTGGTCGTAATGATCACTAGACTGGTCGTAGTGATCACTAGACTGGTCGTAGAGATCACTAGACTGGTCGTAATGAAACTCGCAAGTTATTCTCCTATAAACTCATACACAGACAACAGCAGTGCAAAAAATCAAGTTTCTCGACTAGTGTTTAATATTTATTGTTGGATTTTACATAAGAATTAAAATATAAAACAAATGGTGAATGTCTGAAGTGTTTTAAAGGTCTGTTTATCTTTTCAGTCTTAGAACCCAATTTGCTAGTAGTCCAAAAAAGAATGATAAACCAAAAAATGCATAAATAAAACTGAAAGGACTACACACTTAGAATCCCTCTGAGAATTAAATATTCATCCAAGACTCAATGAAAGTGAAAGATTGAACCTGACCTGAAGAAGCACTCTCTCTCTCTCCAGTTATCACATGGAATTAAAGGCTTCAAGTTTAACGTTCTGGTGTGGGTGGTTTACACGTATACTTATGTGCAAATACATATGCATATGTATACACGTGCAAAAATATACATCCATACATGTTTACATACACATCAATACACAGGCATGCATATGCAGACGAAGGTCATATTTTGATGTATTATAATTTTTAACGGGGCCATGTACTACTAGCTTCGAGTGATTGAGGTAGAAGAGGCTGGGCTTATGGCAAACGGGGATATCTTTTTTTGCTTCATTGACACAGTGGGCTGGGCTTATGGCAAACGGGAATACAGTTCTTGCTTCATTGACACAGTGGGCTAGATTTATGGGATATAGGTAGAATTGTAAATCATTGAGCTAGAGGCGGTTGGACTTGGGAATACGGGAATGCATTCCTTGGATCACTGAAGTACAGAGTGCTTTGCTTATGGGATATGAGGACACGTTTCTTCGAACATTGAAACCGCCTGGCTGGGCTTACGGGAAATAAGCCTATCAAGAAGTGGGGGCAAATGAGACCAAGTTGAGAAACTAAAACCGAGGCGATCCAGTTAAGACTAGGTAGAGGAAATGACTAATTTATAATCCTTGCACAGTTTAAATAATTAGTATGATATAGTAGTGAATTAATATTTAAAATAACTTATATGTAATTTAAATTGACGTTTTACATATTCTGTTTTCCAGAACTAGCTAAGAACTGCATTAGCCATCGGCCACTACCCACCCTTCATTTGCTGTCATTCTACCTTCAGGTAAGTCAGTAATTATTAAGTTATAGATAAGTTGGCAATCAGGAGCAAATGTGATCATATGAAGGGACATTTAAGATTAACAATAACACCTCTGTTTTATGTTATACTGCATTTCATACTGAATTCTTTCTCTTGTCAACAGACTGGAAGACAGACTGGAAGACCATAGGGATGCAGCACTCCGTAGAGGACATGTCAAATGCCTTGATTGTATTATCAAGAGGCATAACACAAAGAGATGCGATGAACAGTACAAGAAACCTACCACAAGTTTACAGTAGCGTTTCACAGGAAGGATTAAATCACCCGAAAGATTGGGAGGCTAAACGTGAAAGACATTCGTAAAGAAAGCGTTTTGTCACGGAAACATTTTTTGGGACTTTTTATCTGGTAGAGTGAGAGAGGAGATACACAAATAACCCGCACATAGAAGAGAGGCGCTTACGACGACTTTTCGGTCCGACTTGGACCATTTACAAATTCACACTGATGAAAAGGAGAGAAGGAGGGTTATATAGGCTTGTATACCCCT